GCCTCCCCTTTGCTCGTTCTCAGGAATAGTTTCCCCGGCTCGCAGCAGCAGGGGGATCAAACTCTCGTGAGGTGGACCACTGGCTTCCTGCAGCTCGGAGAGCAGGCGGGCGGCGGCGTGCCCGTGGAGACGCGGGGATAGTGCGCTCGCGGGGCTGGCATAAGGGACCAGTTTGGGAAAAAGTGATGACCTGGCGGTTTTCCCGTGAAATGACTCCACGTGTAGTCATAGCTGCGGGGACTTGTAAAGATCAGAGGCTGAGGTGTGTCCTAAGACCCTGTTACAGGAACCTGATGTGTGGACTCGGTGCATTTTTATCCAGGTAACTCACAGCCTGTTTACATTTCTTTATTTTTTTTCTTACACTTTTGGGGGGTATTGATATAAATAAACTGGTGTAGGGGAGTTTTTAAATTCAGCGCAGGGAGTATTAAACGCCTGCAACATTCAAGGAACGTATTAGGCTCAACAAAAGAAAAAAGGTGAACTGTGTAACCCCAGGTCACTTCCAGGCTTGTTGGAGAGGAGATGGGTGGTGATTCTGGGATCACTTGTCGAGCATCTTCTGCGTCCGGCGCTGCAGGCCCTTGGGTAAGTCCTCTTGTGTGGCTTTCTCTGCTCCGGGCGGTAGTTACTGTTCTTCCTGTTTAGCAGATGAGGAGGAGACAGTTGGAAGAGATTGAATGACGTGGCCTCATCTGTTACAGGATTAGTACTTGTTTGGGGCCTGGCACATAGTAGGCTTTCAGTTAGGAATTGGTAGCAGAGTGCCACCACGCCTCCAATCCCCAGGCAGCCTTGACTAGAGGCCTTGACTGAGGCGGCGGTAATGGCAGCAGTGTTCACTAAGCCTCCCCTGTGTCCAGCCCTGCCTCCGCTTGCTTGAGTTCTCGTTGGCCCCAGTCAGCGATCTTTTGAGGTAGGTACTATCGTATTCCCATTTGCACGTGAGGAGACAGGCACGGTGAGGTCCTAGGTTCCAGAGCTGGTGCTGGAGAAGGTGGGTGCAGTGGTCTGAGATTCCAGGGCCCACAGTGCTGGACCTGTGGTGGTCAGTTTAAGTTAGTGGAAGCTCTGGGCTTAGACTCGTGATTCTGAGTGTTTATTACGGAGGTGCAGGATAGGGCCAGGGGCCTCCTGGACAGCCGGTAGGCCTGGGATTATCACTGCCACTAAATTGGGCACATGGTTACTGGGTCAAGGTTCCCTAGCTGCCAAATGATTGAACCAGGAGGTGGACACTTGAAATGTATCTAACTGCATATTTACTCTTTCTTCTTTACCTTGACCTGGAAAGATAGTCACCACTTTTTCACACTAAAAAGGACTCCTGAGGTAGTGAAACACATCCTCCATTTTATGGATTAGTAAGTGGGGGCTCTTGGGGTTTAACGTATGTTCAGGGCCACCTAAGGATTTTGAGCCAGCAAGATGTAGCCTCTCAGCAGGATGGCCTTCCCAGGCAATTTCTGTGCTTCCAGCAGGGTGGCTACTATGTGTCTCTTTCTTCAGCATTATGTTTTGTTTCTTAAAATAATACACGCACATGCATGTAGTTTAAAAAGTCAGATAGTCCTGGAAGACGTTTTAAAAAAAGCTGCTGTCTTCTCCTGCCTTTAGAGGCAGCAGCTACTTGACCCTTTGGCATTTACCTTATGTTTTCAAGTCATGTTTCTGTAGTTGTGTCTTTATTCACAAGTTTTCGGGATTATCTGCTGACGTCCACGAACGGTAGATGGCCATTTTCGGTTCTCTCGCCCTGTCTCTTTTTTAGGTATCTCACAGTTTAGGTTAAATCCATGACCGGATCTTCGTCAGTCTGTGCAGGTCATTTTTGTGCCTTGCTGGGCTGGATGGTGAACCACAGTTGTATTTCTTTTCTTGTACAGCCTTTTTACTTTCCTGCTCCTTTTGTCCTGTAAAGTGTTTCTGGATTTAAGTTTTTACTCCTCAGACCTGTCAGCTCCCCTCCTCCCCCACCCCCGGCGTCCACAGTGCTCCCTGGGCGCCTGCCCTGGGCCGGGGCACATGGTCATCCTGGGCGTGCTCCCCCTTTCTCTCCCTGCCTCTCAGGCCCCCTCTGCATGCTCACTTGAGGTGGTGGGACACATTCTCTGGGAGCTTCCCGGAGTTTGCTGGGAGGTGGACTTCCAGGACTTGCCTGTCTGAAAATGTTTTTATTCTACCATTACACTTAAAGGTAAGTGTGGCTGGCCTTGGTGTTCCAGGTTGGAAGCAATTTTGAAGTTTTTGATCCAGTATCTTGTTTTCATTGTTGCTGTTGAGAAGCCCAGTTTGATTCATAACCCTTAGTAAGCATTACTTCTCCGTCAGACTTTTGGGAGCCTCCCAATTCTCATGATGTGCCTTAGTTGTAGCCTTTTTTCACTTACCCTGCAGGCTGTGAGTAGCCCTGAGATCTGGAGATGGATGTCCTGTCATTCCGGGGGCGTTTTGTGTTCCCTGTGCATTCGAGCATTCGAGATGTTTGCTCGCTACCGTTTCTCTGTGTTCTCCTTTCCCAGTTCTTTGTTTGCACGTTGGACTTCCTGTGCTTACTATTCTGATTTTTAAAATCTTTTCTCCTCATCATATCTTGATCTTTTTGTTCTACGTTTTGGGAGGTGTTTGTTTTTTTTTTTTTTACTGTTTACTAATTCTTCACTGAACATTTTACTTCCTCTCGTATTTTCATGTTCTTTACTGTTCTTTGTTCTTTTCTTACATCTCTTGTTCTTGTTTTGTGTATACAGTATCTGCTTATCTCTTAATTTTAGTTGCATTTAAAAAATTACAAAATTAAAAAAATATTTTTAAATTTGGGGGGAGGATGTGTATAGTTCAGTGGTAGAGCACTTGTCTAGCATGCAGTAGGTCCTGGGTTCAAGCCCCAGTATCTCCATTAAAAAAAATTGTTTTTTGCACTTTTTCTTTTTCACCTGCGTTCCTCTTTGCTATTGTATCTTTTGGCTTCTTTTTTCATGGTGGAAACCCTTTTTCTGATGCCTGGTGATCCTTGGCTGTTCATTCACCTTTGCGAAGAAAGTACTGAAAGTGGAAAGTTGAGTGGTTGTTAACTTTCTTCACTGGAGGCTGATGACTAATTTTTTTTAATTGAGATACAGTTACCGTACGGTATTAATGCTGTACTTTTGTCAGAGCTCCTCCAAACGTCACGGTCCTCTGGTCTGGTTTCCTTGGAGCAGGCCCTCCTGTCCCTGCCCTGTTGGTCCCCCTGGCAGTTGGGCCGGGAGAAGACCAGGAAAGAGGAGGCTCTTTCCGGGGTTCCGTCAAGAGCCTTGCCTCATCCCCCGACTCAGTCAAGCAGCCTGCTCCTGCGTGTCTTTGTGCTGCTCTCCCCAGGTGTGGGGCATTTCTGGTGGAGTTTTTACAGAGCTAAACTGGTGTCTCGTGGCCATAAAAGAGTACTTGTCTGAGTGGGTGGGTGGGGCCTGGGGACCAAAAGTCCAGCATTCCTTACGTGGATTTTCCACCACAGCCCTCTCTAGTTCCTGGCGTCACCCCCTCTTCTGAGACGTCCCATGGTCTGGTGGGGCCGATCAGCCTACTCCTCAGCAGTGACCCCTCATTCGGGCTCCCCTCTTGCCTTGTGGAGTGATTCGGGGTTCCTACGTTCTCCATCTTCCCCCGTCTTTGTGGGGTTTCAAGTGTTCCCTGGGTGGAGTTGACGTTGCTCTTTCCTGTTCTTGTCCTTGGTTGACCTTCCATAAGAGAGGGTGGACAGGCTCCTCTGCCATCCAGAGAGCAGCAGCGTTCATTCCACATCTCCAGAAGCATGTTGCCACCCGCGCCAAGAGCGTGCAGTCCTGTGCAGAGGGCTGCCCATCTTGGGTTTGTACTGTGAGGTGTGTGGTTCTGGCTCTTAGCCAGCGCAGGTCCTGGAGTCCTTCCTGACGGTCTAGTAGGGGCAGTAAATGTGTCAGCCCTGATGGCTGAAAGGACATTTGAGGGCAGCTTAGACCCCATGTGTGGTCAGTGCCACAGTGGGGCTGGAGCCCCATTTCCTGCTTCTGCTTCCTGTCATCTCACAAAACTGCTTTGTAGGTTTGACCACACTTTATTGAGTTTCTCTTTGAAAACAGTGTAGCTTATGGGAACCATATTTTGGCTTGTCTCTTTAGGAACTTTCTGTTCTTTGCCATTTCATGGGACTTGCCTTGTTTGATGGCGGCTTCTGTCTCACGGGGAGTGGGCAGCTTGGCTCTGATTTATGTTGCTCACTCAGCATATCACGCAGGGGTACTTGCTGGAGCCCGGTTACTTTGGTGTACCGCAGGTGTGATGCAGAAAGTGTCAGTTCCAGAGTTGAGAAGTTCTTCCATTTATTGTCCTACTTTTTTTTAACTTATGGTTTTTTTCACTTATTTAGAAAAACTGCTAATTCTTCAAAGGTTTTGGATTTTAAGAAACAAAAGTTGAAGTAGTTATTTCAACTCTTCAAAGGTGGCTTTTTGTTTTTCTTGTGGTGTTTTCGTAAGTAAGTCACTTTCTCAATAAGATCACTGTTAGTTGATATTTTATTTTGGAAAAGGTTTTGGACTGCTTTCTGCATCCCACTGTTAATAGGTTTGTACGTTCTGATCGGAGTATATTGAAAACGCTCTTCCCGGGGCTCTGTAAGTGTTTGTTGAGCACTCTCTGTTTATGAAGAGCTGTTCTAGGTGTTGTGTAAGAGGACACGCAAGTTTATGAGATTGGTCTCTGACTTCACAAAACCTACGAGTGTAATAGAGCAGTTATCACCAAGCAGGAAACGAGGTGGAATCAGTGAAAAGTAAACAA